GAGTGGTCTGCTGGGGCAGCAGTGTCTCAGCTGCAGATAGGAAGAGACTGGACAAGCTGATCAAGAAGGCCAGCTCTGTCCTGGGATGCTCTCTGGACTCTGTGCAGGTGGTGGGAGAAAGGAGGATGACAGCCAAGCTGTCGTCTCTGAGGACTAATGACTCCCACCCCATGCAGGAGGAGATAAAAGCTCTGGAGAGCTCCTTCAGCGATAGACTGATTCACCCAAAGTGTGTGAAGGAACACTATCACAGGTCCTTCCTGCCTGCTGCTGTCAGGCTACATAACCAGCACTGCTCACAGTAAACTGCACCATGGACACTTTAGGGACACTATGGACACTTTATGGACACCACAATAAGCATTGCTGCCCCCCATGTTGTTATTTGCACATTCAATATTCACTTGCACTAAATATGTCCACTTTAATCCATTGCTCACCTTTTTTATCCACTGCTCATTATTATTATTATTATTATTATTATTATTATTATTATTATTATTATTTATTGCTGTTTCTTGTATCTTTTGTACTTTTTTCTGCATGCCTAGTTTTTTCAAGTTTTTAAATATTGAAATCTTTAATTTGACTCTTTCCCCTTGACTGCTGTAACACTGGAATTTCTCAATTATGGGATCAGTAAAGGTGTATCTTATCTTATCTCTTATGAGAAACTGACCCGTTTATTGTTAACAGGGTTAAATAAACAAACTTTAAACATGAACATTAACATTAAATAAAACATATAGCTGGTTTGCTTTGGCTGATTTGGTCCCTTAATAAATAGAAAATAAATCAACACAAGAAATCTTTAAAATGTCTAACATTGAAATTAAAATAGCAGCAAGACTCCACACACTTGTGCTTTGGCCCCTAATAAATAAAAAAAAAGATTAACACCACAAAACATTGTTGACATTTAACAAACAATGCAGCCTTTCCTTTTCAGTTATTTTAGTAGTGTCAATGCCAGTCTGGTGCTGCTGTTTCCTGTGTGTCTGCATGCTGGCCTGGTGGATTGATAGTAAGTGCTGGAGCGGATCACTGGAATGGACTGCTTGAATTGCAGAGCGCTGGGCTGGCCGGAAAACCTGGATTGGACTCTATGAAAAACTGGATTGGAGTTCTTGGATTGGCATTTGTCCATGCAGTCCGATCCAATACCAACGCACGTTTTTTGCTAATATCGGCGGCCGATTCGGATCGGGTCATCCCTACTGTTAGCTCACTGTTAGCTCTGTGTCACCTTTTTTAGCACCGTGTTAGCTCTCTGTTAGCTCTGTGTCACCTTGTTTGGCACCATGTTAGCTCTGTGTCAACTCTGTTAGCTCCGTGTTAGCTCTATTAGCTCAGCGTTAGCTCTTTGTTGGCTCTGATAGCTCTACTAGCTCTGTGTTAGCTCTATGTTAGCTCTATTCTCTCTGTGTAAGATCTATTAGCCCTGTGTTAGATCTGTGTTAGCTCTGTGTTAACGTTGTGTTAGCTCTATTAGCTCCGTGTTAGCTCTGTTAGCTCTTTTTTTATTATTCTTTATTAGCATATATACAGTACAAATTGGCATAGTTTAGTGTGGTACATAAAGAACAAGGAACAGACAAGCCTCGTAATGGGTGTTAAAGATAATGTGGATGAAGAGAAAATTAAAAGTAATAGTTATTAAAAAAAGTTAAATAAGATAAATAACAAAAAGGCAGATAACTAAATAAAAGTAAACTCAGCAGGAATAAGAGGTGAAGATCCTCTGCTGGGCTTCAGCACATTATTTTCCTCCATATATTTCAGTGATGAAAAGTAAAGACACATTTCTTTGTGACAAACATTTGATTTAAATTTCATGAATCTGTTTTATGTATAAAAAAACTTGATGATTGAGTCGATCTCCAGGTTACGTATCAGATCTTTCACACGTAAACCAAACAAAACGTTTTCCTTTGTGAGACGAGAGACGTTGACAAATTGAGGAAACAGACAATAATGCAAATTGTCCCAAAAGACAAAGTTACATTGATAAAATAAATGCTGTGTAGTTTCAGTGTTCGTCACAGAAGGAGCAGTTCTTATGATCGAAACCAAAAACACGTCCTGATCATTCAGCAGATGGTTATTAATGTGACCCTCCTTCACTTCTGGTGCAACAGGAAACTGTTTAGACAAGAACTGTACAATTGAATTTCTGTTTGATGAGAGCGGATATTATTCTTTAACCAGGGTTGTGAAATGAGGTCGTTTTAAAAGGGTGATGTTAGGACCATTCACCAAAGCGAAGGGAGACTGGGGCAAACATTGCTTTGGAATAAATGTTATGACATCACAATAACAGACTGAGGGATTGCTGTGATGACACGTTTGATGTAGACCAAAGGTCGTCAAAGGGCAGAATGTTTCCTGAAGCGTTCAGTCAGTGCAACACACATCATGTTCCTTTTTCTAGAAACTACAGATTGACTTTTCAGCGACACAGACCTGCAGGTCCACACTGAGGTGTTATGGGGCTAAAACTGTCTGCAGATCATTTTCCAATAATGTGGTCCCTGCTGATGGAAGAGGAGCTAATGTAATAACAGTCACATCTGGAGGAGGTTGATGCACCTAACTTCCTGAACACGTGGTTTGAGATGTGAAACCAAAGGCTGTTGTCATTTCTCACGAAGGATCTGAACCAATTCATTCAATATTAATACAGTCTGTATCATTTAAGACCACCTTCTTCATAACCTGTCACCTAATGCAGTGTGTTGTCCTCTTCCTGCTTTATGGCTCAACAGCATTTCTGGGGAGTGACAACAAACAGGCCGCAGCTCCACATCAACATTTCCATCAACAGTAAACGAATCCTGTCTGGGTCCATGTCCCAGTGCCTGTCAGTCAGCAGAGTGACTGCAGCTGTCAGAGAAATGTGGAGCAGAGGGAGTAAACAGTGTCACTTACTGTCCCCGTGTGTCCTCCAGGAGGACATCCTGTCTGGGTCCATGTCCCAGTGTCTCTCAGTCAGCAGCTCAGACTGTCTCCATCCTCCCAAAACACTCTCACTGACAGCAGCAGAAGGAATGAGACGTGTTAGCAGGAGCTAGCTGTGGCTAACGTTAGCAACATTAGCAGTGAAGCTGTTTCCGGCGGGAGAAAGAAAACAAACCTGCTCTTTGTAGTTTTATTTCAGCTTTGAAGTCCACATCCAGCTGTCTGTGACGTCACAAGGTCTTTACTAAACTAAACTCTGGAGCCTTTTCACTCCGCCGTCCTCCGCACGAGACTAATCCAAAGAGCATGGACACCAAGAGGCAAAGCTCAACAGAACGCCCCATAGCAACAGACTCGCCCATGGTTTCGTCCTACTGCCGCCATTTTGTACTGTCAGCAGACCGCAGCAGACCTGCTTGCATACAAAAACACACAGACAAACTTAAGTATATCGCTATTAATTATGCTTACAATGCTACTCACCTCGTCATAGCTTGGTCACAGCTGCTTTTTCACGTTTTTGTAAAGCAAAATATAGACTTTAAAAAAAAACAAAACGAAGAAAAACGGCCTAGATGGCATCTCTACATATTACATCCACTTATGAGAAGATTAACTTCAAAATAAGCCATCATAAGCCAATCTACCAAAAAATAAATAAATAATAAAAAAAACAATATTTTAACTAGAAACACATTAATGGCGACGTCACATAAAGATTGATTTACAGTTTGTACAGTAAGGGGACAGTAATAATAACAATAATAATATATAGGCTATTTTAATATGATATATTTTAATGCTTAAGCAGTAATCAGTTCTGATATAAATGTCCAAGAGGCCATATATAGGCCTATATATACATATACACATATATCTTCCCACGAAAACTGGCATATTAAATTGATATTAAAACACTTAAAAACTTACACCTCAGGAGTTCTTACCTGTCGGGATCCTTCGGGAAACGGTGGAAGGCCAGGTGCGTGGTGTTCCACTGATAGTTGTTGCAGTTAATTGCACTACACTGTTTTCTTTTACTTGTTTCCTCCTCTCTCCTTGACATCTTGCATGTTGTCTGGGCGCAACAGTCCAAAATGGCGTTAGCGCCCCTAGTGGCTGTTGGCAGAAATTCAACGGAGCTTCGCCTCTTGGTTTCCATTCTCTTTGGCTAATCACTACTGTAGGTTCCGGGGACGGAAGGGTTAGGGGTCGGACCAACAACCACTTCCGGGTAATCGTTCTTACGCCAAAAGTGTTTCAATAATGTCAATAAAATAAATCTTATCAACATTTGGAGAGAGAAACCCGCACAGCAGACAGACCACTGTGTAACTGGTATCACTCTGAAAGCGGAAAACAATTCAAAATCCAAGAAGAATGGTTGGGTGTTTAATGCTGATCTGTTGAATGTAGAGGATTTATTAGCAGAAATTAAAAATGATACAGAATTAGAAAATTATTGCAGAAAATGGGAATATTTTAAATATAAGGTCAGAAGTTTATAAACGTGGTAAATCCAGACATCAACTGCAAAGAAAAAATGAACTTAAATTATTTCAAGAAATTAATGAATGTTGTAGAAAATTTGAGTTATCAGATGAAGATAAGGCAAAAAAGTTATGTTTACAAACCAGAGTAGATAAGCTGTACATTCAGAAGGCAGAGCTAAATGGACAGAGCCAGGAGAGAAAAAATCATCTTATTTTTTTGGACTTGAAAGGAGGAGACAAGAAAGAAATCGAATAGATCTGCTGATGATCAATGATAGAGAATGCTCTGACACAAAATTAATATCTGAAGAAATTCACTGTTTCTATTCTAATTTATACTCTTCAGCACACGCAGGAGAAGATTCATTATCTTTTTTTGGAAAGTATGAAACAAAACATTTCTAAAATTGACTCAACATTAAAAACATTGTGTGATTCTGAGATAGAAATGACAAAACTGGATGCAGCTATAAAGCAAATGTCAGCAGGAAAATCACCTGGTCAAGATGGTTTAACCTCAAAATTTATAAGTTTTTCTGGGAAGACTTAAAAGAACTATTATTTAATGCTCTGAAGGAATTCATTGAGAATAATGATTTAATGCCGACTATGAAACAAGGTGTCTTTACTCTATTACCCAAATCTGGTAAGGACAAAAGGTATGTTGATAACCTGAGACCAATGACTTTATTAAATGTTGACTACAAATTGTTTACTCTTATTTTAGGACAGACAATAAGTGAAACTCAATCGGGATTTATAGAGACAGGTCTATACATAATAATATTAGGTTGGTTCTTGATTTACTTGACTATAAATATTTAATTGAAGATAAAGGCTTTATTTTATTTTTAGATTTTTACAAAGCCTTCGATTCTGTTGAGCAATTGTTTATAATGAAATCCTTAGAGTATTTTGGCTTTGGTGCACAGTTTTTTAAAGTAACTAATATAATGTATAAGGATATTAACAGTTCAGTCTCTCTCCCTCAAGGAACAACTAGAAGATTTGAGGTTAAACTTGTGTTCCTGCAGGGTTGTTCCTGCTCTCCTTTATTATTTATTTTAGCTGCAGAGTTATTAGCAGTTTTTCTTAAAAATAACCCCGACATTGAGCCTTTAAATGTATGAAGTAATCATCTGACCATAACTCAGCTAGCTGAAGATACCACGATCTTCCTCAAGAGGGCAGAACAGATCCCTTTGGTAATCAATAAAATAGATCATTTTTCTAGACTGTACTTACATTTAAAAGAATGCGAGCTAATTTCAATACATGATCTTCAACCAATTGACTTATATGGAACTGCAGTGAAGAATGAAGTGAAATATTTAGGAGTGACCATAACAAAGGATTGTAAATCCAGAGAAGAATTAAATATTATGACTGTCATAAAGAAAAGTAAAAATATACTCAACTCCTGGTTACAAAGAGATATGTCAATTTTTGGACGTATTTTGAGCCCCAAAATTGAAGCACTTTCTAGATTAACATAGGCTATCCAGCGTTCTCTTTACCCATTCCTGATCATTTAATTAAATCAATTAATCAAACAAATTTTAATTTTATTTGGAAAAATAAACATCATTATCTGAGAAAAGGGGATGTGGTAAAATAGTTAGATGAAGGAGGTCTAAATGTGATCGACTATGAAGCAATGAACGGCATGATGAAACTCAAATGGTTGCAACAATCTAAAAAATGTCAGTGGTTTCTGGTTTCATTTTTATATTCATTCATATTCCCTCTAAAATATTTGAAAAATGGGATAGATTTTCTGTTAATATCACCAAGCTACCAGTTAAGTTGTCCAAGTTTCATCAGCAGGTCCTCCTGTACTGGAAACTAATTTATGATCATAACTTTACTCCACAGTCTGTTCCCATCTGAAACAACAGATGTGTCTTGTCTAGAAGAAAATCTTTGTTTTTTAATGACTGGGTAGAGGGAGGTATTTGGTCGATTTTGCACTTAATGGATTCAAGAGGAAACTTTCTTGACTATGATGATTTTGTTAATCAATTTAATATGAAGTGTACTAAACAACAACACTCAGTGGTGATCAAAGCAATTCCACAAGGTGAACATGGTAAAAGGAATGTTGCTTTATGATAAAAGAATGATGCCGTCACTTTTTATAGATGATATTAATTTCATAGATAAAAAATGTACTAACAAAATCATACGAGGTGTCCTCACGTCTAATCTCTTCCCTTTATCATTAAAAAGAAAAAATCTGTTCAAAGATTATCCTGAAGAGATTATAGTCCGAATTAGAGCCAGATGCCTCACTCTACCCGTATCACCGAAAGCTAAGGAAACACATTTTAAAACCTTAAATGATGTCTATCCTTGTAATGAGTTTCTGAGACAAAGATTCAACATCGATAAAAACCACTGTACTTCTTGTGACTCTGACACTGAGACATTAGAACACTTGTTTTTAACTGTACTTATACCAGAGTGTTTTGGGAAGCATTTCAAGACTGCATATCTGAAAAGGTCACTCAGTCGCCCGAGCTGGAATACAAGGACATTAAGTATGGAGTTATAATACAAAACAAAAAAAAAACGGGAAATGATGTGTAACAGTTTAATTATCATTGCAAAACAATTTATCCACAGATGCAGAATCATGAAGAGCCACCCACTGTTCTCAGTTTATATGAATGAGATAACCAACTTTAAAAAAAACACTGAAATGTCTTCAAACCAAACAAGCCTTGACTGTTTATGACAATTTGAATGCATTCATTTCTGTCTAGACCTCTGACTTCTATTCTGTTATTTATTTTATTTTATTTTATTTTATTTTTGATATATGTACTGTTACAAATATGCTGCAAATGCTCAGTCTGGAAAATTGAAAGCTTTGAATATAACGCCAGACTTTGTTTAATAAAGTTGAAAAAAAAGTCAATAATGAATGGTTTCGTTGTGAACGATAATGATGATACATGATAAAAATAATGATGATGTCATTAATATGTCTGAGGCTGTGTAACTCAGTCACGATGATTTATGTCATTGACATTATTAAAATACTTCTGGCGTAAGAACGATCACCCGGGAGCACAAACTGTACTCTGAATGTTTCATCACGTCAATTAGTGATGAAGAGGATGGCAATGAGATGGAGTGGGTGATATCTCGGTATGCGAGGATGGAAAGAGCTTTGAGAGAGAAACACACATGAAGGGAGAGAAGTTGGTCGGTGGAGAGAGAGACTGATGAGAAGGCAACAACAAGAAATCCAGAACAAATCAGGAGGATAAGCAAGTGTGTGTGTGTGTGTGTGTGTGTGTGTGTGTGTGTGTGTGTGTGTGTGTGAGCCACACTCCAGAGCAGAAGGTGGCGGTAATGCACCAAATGCCGGATGCCAACCGCCGGAAAACAAAACGAAAAAGAAGAGGAACCTACAGTAGTGATTAGTCTCGTGCGGAGGACGGCGGAGTGAAAAGGCTCCAGAGTTTAGTTTAGTAAAGACCTTGTGACGTCACAGACAGCTGGATGTGGACTTCAAAGCTGAAATAAAACTACAAAGAGCAGGTTTGTTTTCTTTCTCCCGCCGGAAACAGCTTCACTGCTAATGTTGCTAACGTTAGCCACAGCTAGCTCCTGCTAACACGTCTCATTCCTTCTGCTGCTGTCAGTGAGAGTGTTTTGGGAGGATGGAGACAGTCTGAGCTGCTGACTGAGAGACACTGGGACATGGACCCAGACAGGATGTCCTCCTGGAGGACACACGGGGACAGTCTGAGCTGCTGACTGAAAATCGTTTCTTTATATTTCAGGGTGTTTTTCTTTCATCATTCCTCCA